ATGCCCCTGAAGTACCGGTCGAAACCTGCCAGAGTCTACACTCCTCCTACATATTTGAGTACTTCCTCCAGCTCCAGAGTATTTAATCATCCTCCTTCTTCCACGCCTCTTTAAAACGAGCACGCACGCACAATCAAAGCGAAACCTTCCTCCTCAAAACAAGTTCTTCAAATCAATTGCAGCAACAAAGCAAGCAAAAAAAAAAAGAAAAACGTGTCGGTTCACCAAGCCTCAAGGAATCATACATATCCCATTCATCCGATCCAACCACCATCACCGTATTCACCGACTCCCACCTCCACTCCAACTTCCAACAAAAATTCCGTAAAGCGGGGAAAAAAACAATCCACCCAAATTAAAGAAGGATCCTTTTTCTCCCTTCTCCAATTCCTCCCTCCTCCACACAAACCTCCCCTATCAATTCCATCTCACAAATCCACAATGAGCGGCTCAGGATCATACTATTGCTCAAACTACTACGTTAGTACCCCCTTCCTCTTCCATCTCCATATTCACTTCCCCGGACCGAAACAAAAAGATAAAGTGACAAATAAATAAATTATTGCAATACTGACCAACAAGCTTCCAGGGCTACCACCAATGCAAGAACCAGGTCCGCAGCTGGGGCGAAAAGTGCCATCAATGCAAGGTATGACTCTCATTCTCACTACCGTATTACTCTTAACCTCACTTAATATCAATCCTTACTTCTCCCAACCCATCTCTCTCTTTGCCTATTCCATTTATCTGTCGTTCAAAAGCTGATAACAGCAATGATGCAGTCTATGGGACGAACCACTGCAGCTCCTGCTGATTCTGCAATTGCTTACTCGAACCCATTTACCGATTCTCCCGCGGCGAAACCCGAGTTGCTTGTTGCGCCGTGCCCCAGCGCGAGGAATCCTACACGACGAGGCAGCGGTTAGACGCGCACCCTACATCCTCGGTTACTTCTTTGGCCTTCTCTCCTTCCTTTTGAGTTAACCGTTTGCTTCCTTCTCCCGCATTTTTTTCTTCTTCCTTTGCCTTGCTCGATTCTATCTTTCCGTGTAAGGTTTTTTCAGCGTGGTTGCGGCGGTGGTGGTGGTGGTGGTGGTGGCGTTATATTTTTACTTTCATGCTCGCTTGTGGAGAAGGGCTTAAGCATAATATGGGGTTTTTATTAATTCTCACGCTCAAACGTTTTTTCTTACTACGATACGGTACCGTACTGTGCTCGAGTATTGGCTTGGGTCCGGGGGAGGGGGGGGCCGGTGCGGCTGATATTACCGATTACCCATATCAGTTTTTTTTTCTTCTCTTGTTGGTATCGTAGCTTTACTATCTTTTGCTTTTGCTTTTCATCTACCGGTATCTCCTCTGGTCCGATTGGACCTGTTGCAACATACTAATTCGTCACGAAAGGCGCCGGGAGGGAAGTTCTTTTTTTGCCTATTCTATTCATTTTGTTCATATTTATCTCTCCTCCTTTTGGTTATGGGTTTTCTTGATTTCTGGTCCGGTTTCTAGGAAATGCTTTATATAGAATGCGGGAAGTGAATAGGTCGGGTTAGGTTCAAGGGGTGGGGGGTGGGCGGGGATGCAGTGAGGGGTCATGGTGGGGTTTTGTTTTGGTTCTTATTTTCCTGTTTTTTGTTTTTTGTGCCTCACTATGTTATTGAATCGTTCGCGAGAGACGTACTGTACTTGAATATCGTCATCGTCGCCACCATCGCCATCATCATCATTGCTATCGCATCGCGTCTGTATGCGGGGGTGAAAGGAAACGAAATAAAGAAACCAAACAGCAGGGTGAAAAGTATAATAAGGGTATCCGCAGCATCGTACTCGGTACTTGTACGAGTACCGGTACATGATTATCGTCAGGGGTGTATTATTGGGTACCGGGCAGGAAGAAAAAGGGACTAAAAGTGAAAAAACTAAAGGAAGGGTTACATGCTATCGCCCCGAGATTCACTGAGTCACTCAGTCAGACAGATACTCCCATACCGGTATTAGTCCAATCGCAAAACCACCTCCTCTCTCACACATACCAGTATCATACTTCGGTATCCTTCTCAGCCTACCAGAGCACAACCCCTACCATAGCCATTTCCCCTCCTCTCCCCCCCTCATTATACCCAAACCAAACCAAACCAAGCCCAGACTTATCATTCGCACCGTACCCCGATAACCACCTCCGCCTATTGTAGTACCACTCCTACCCCTCCTGCCCCTCTCTACACACTTCACCCATCTGCTAACACCGCTCGGCTACACCCTACCAGAAGAGAAAACGGAATCCCTCCGCCCCGCCTTACCCCACTAGCATCACAATGAATCACTCATTACCTTCTTTCCCTTCGGAAATGGGGGAGGGGGTGGGTGAGTGGTATCACCACCCCGCTCTCAGCCGGCTTCAATGCAGGATTTCTCCTGGTGCGGGGATAAAAAGGCTGGCGCGTTTGTGTGGTTTTGGAGTTCCCCGATATTGGACTGTTAGTATGATAGGGGGGGGGGTGGAAAGGAAGGGTGAAGGTGGAGGGGTCGTTGCGCCTGGAATGAGTTCGGCTGAGAAGACTTCTAGAAGGTGGAGGGAGGGGGATATCACTGGTATTTTGGATTGCGCTAGTGGGAGCTTTCACTTTGGTCGCGTTGTTTGTATCGTAGTGTTGGGCTTGAGGGTCGAAGAAGGGAGAAGGGGTTTTTCAGCTGAAGAGGGATTACCAAGAGCGCGAGGCTAAGACTTTTTTTGCTGTTATATCTCTAGTTCGGTGCTTTCGCCGCTCCTCTTCCTCTCTGGCTACCCGATGGAGGCTGCGATTGGCCTCGGTGGTGAGTATCCAGCACGATATGGGTACGGGGGGGTGGGTGGGTATTGGCACTTATGTTGGGAAGGTAGCTTCCCGTGCCCACTGCTCTCGTGACTTTGGGCAGATCTACAGGTATTCATCCGGGCGTGGCAATCCAATCGTAGGTTGGGGGTGCTCCGTTCTTGTCTTGCACTATCCTGTCTCGCGGACTGGATGGCTGGATGGCTAGATAGCCGGCACTGCAATGCAATGCAATTGCACCTCTGCTCGCAGCCAACGATGGTGGCGGTGGTAGCGGTGGTGCACGAAAAAGAACTTTATTTTATTGGCTATTATACGTTTGAAAAGTATCTGGGATCATCAGAAATGACTCGCTGGGATTCGTGATGTCTCTGGGTGGGAAAAGCATGGCTAGCCAAGTTTTTGGGTTAGCCAGGTAGAAAGGTTTGGTTGAGCGAATGGCGTTTGCGCGTCCCCGGCAGCTTGGAACGCTTGCATGGATCCAGCATGGGATCATGAGATGGAGAGACGGCGCAAGTAGCAGGGGGCTTAAGTTCCCGGGTACAAGAGATGAGTTATCCTCGATGATTTCCACTGGACCACCCTTCTGTGCTCGAGGGTCAAATTACCATAAAGTCACCATGTCTACAGCCCCCCTTCCTTTTTCTTTTTCCTTTTCTTTTCCTCCTCCATTTCAATGCCTCACGGGTTCTCAAGCGGAGTGACAGACAAGAGTTCATATTGCTTTTCCTAATGATATCATCCACAGAACTGCCGCCAAGAAACATCACACCTTTTTTTTTTCCCCCTTCCCAACAGGCCAACCGCATGAATTATGGTGTAAGTATAACTTTACGGCAGCCGCCTTATTTACAATACGGTAGCATTAATCGGACCGCGACCGCTTAATGCGCCAATGAAATTGGTATATCGAGCTGAGCTGGACTGAATTGGTCGTTAATGCTTTCAGTCGCCGGGACGAGTACTCGAGCTCCGTACTCGAGTACTTCCTATTTATCCGACACACGACTGACTCGACACGACAGAGCGGTTGCTGCAGAAGGGCAAGCAGGAAGAGAGAAAAATGCGTGACATACGAGCACTTCCGGTCACTGTTGAAACCCGTGACATAAGGTTCCGCTAACAGCACTGGTGGCTTCGACGGTAACTCCATACGAGTATGGATACTCTACAGTGCTATTGAGTCCAAACCGATTGCGTCACCAGCCACTCTACTCGAGTACTCGTACATAGTACTACAAAAAAAGCAAAGCAAAGCAATTCTCACGAATCCAGACCTTATACTCGAGTACTAGAATAATCCAATCCACCTTCACTTCGCTTGCCGAATAATTACAAATTAACCCAAACAGGAAGTACTCGGCTTCTTTCTGAGCACTGCATTGCAGTATTTGTAACACGTTGACATGGGTGAGTAATTCACTTGCTAGGCCGTTTACCTGGCGAATGTCAGCACGCGGTGAGGGTTAATTAGGTCACAATAGTACTCGCGGGCTACGCTTACGTTATCACGCTATTGCTGTGTTCGGGGGGGGAATTCCAAATACTTCATGATTCGGCATGGATTTGTCGTGTGGCGGCATATGCGTGATGGGTGGACGGGCTTTCTCTTGTTCCATGTTTGAGGTGTTTGCCTGTGATCGATCGGTTAGCAGGGGAGGGCGGACTTTGGTGTGGTGTGATTAATATCATAGCGTACGGAGTTGGGAACTTGGAAGGAAGAAGTGTATAAATAAGAGGGAGAGGTAAGGAGAGAGAGGTAGGTAGGGTGGACCTCTGTCAACTGTTTATCCATTTATGATATCAAATCCTGTTAAATTCCAGTCTTGAGGTTGATAACTCGCTCGGTGGTAGGATATTGGGGTACAAATCTAACTACCATAACCTACGGTACCGCTCGCTTCAATTCGGTTGTCACGCTATAATACCGATAGTCGAAGCTTAACTTATTGAGTTACGTCATTTTCCTTCCTTCCACACGTTATCATATCATACCATATAAATCTCCTCGCCCACCATTCCCCCCCCTCCCCCAAACAATCAACCAATCCATCACCATACAAATCCATCTTCTTCAGCGAGACTCCTTCTCCCCAATGGCGAAAACATTCCCGGAATCATCAATGGTCATCCGCGCCATCTCTCCCAACATCACCACTTTGTCCGTTCCCTTCCTCCGTTTCAACAAAGCGAAGTTTGGCGGCAGGGCTACCATCGGTGCGTACAAACAAACGAACAAACACACACACACCCATCCTACCACATAAGCAGTGACTAACGGTGGAGTAGTAAAACTCCCAACCGGGGGCCTAGCCGTCTTCTCCCCCGTCGGCCTAACCAACGATGCAAAATCTGCCGTCGAAAACATGGGCGGAAGGGTCAGCTACCTGATCGCCTCGGACATAGAGCACCACATGAACCTGGGACCCTGGAAGCAAGAGTACGCCTCGGCGACCGTGATCGGGCCCGAGGGGCTCTACGAGAAGCGCAAAGCGCAAGGGAACGAGGATGTTCCCATAGACATCACTTACACGAAGGAGAATAAGCACTCTTTGAAGCTACCAGATGAACTGGGGAGTGTGTTCGATGTGGAGTATTTCGACGGGTAGGAATACCCCCCCTCCCCCAATTCTCTTGATGAACTCGGCTAAGCGGTAGCGGTGAGTGGCGCAGCCATCAGAATAAAGAACTGGTCTTCAACTACAAGCCCGAGAGAACAATGATCCAAGCGGACCTGGTATTTAATCTCCCTTGTTACGAGCAGTTCTCCAAATCCGGCATGGATGCCACGAGCGGAATCTGGACTAAAATTGCCCACCACTTTTTGAATATTCACGGTAAGGGGCAACAGAGGTTTCATTGGTATGTCTCCCCTGCGAACAAGCCTAGCTTTGCCGAGTCGGCGAAGGTGGTTGCAGGGTGGGAGTTTGATCGCATCATCCCGTGTCATGGGGAGGTTATCGAGAATGGGGGGAATGATGTTTTCAGGAGGATCTTTGCCTGGAATTTGAAGGTCTGAGTCGGTTGGGCTCACCCGGAGGATTTCCTTTCTTTCCCCCTTTCCCTCTCCTCTTTCCTTAGCATAACTGTTTTCGTCATGGGGCTGGTTGCTGGTTTGGGGGTGTATTTTAGTTTTAATACGGTACTTGCAGTCTAAGTTGCTTTGGTTGCTGGGTTTTTATTTTTATTTTTATTTGTCATGTCATGTCATGGCTTGTGGTTTGTGGCAGTGAAGATTGGTTTTGTTATCGGTTTTTTGTCATTAAAAATATTCGGGTTAATGCAATCCAAACCGGGAATTTTTTTTTTCCCCTCCCTTCAAGGGATATCATATTATAATACAGCGAATCCCCGCATCCCCAACACCCTGAAAACGGAAAAATAAAATAATAGTGAATGCGCCAGTACTCCAGGTTACCCATCCATTCGTCCATTCGTCCATCCATCCATTGGCCTTTTTTTCTTCCGTCAATCGATCAACTATCCTCGACCAGCGATCTCAAATCCAAACCTAGCCCACCAACCCCCCTCTCTCTACGATACTTTCATATCCTTTGGATTTCCTCGCCCTTAGGCCACACTGCCCCTCCCAGTGTAAATGCTCCTACCATGCCTGTCCTTCCACCACATGACCCCACCACCTAAAAGAAAAAAATTATCAATCAGCCACAACCAAACCCCACACAAGGGAAGAGAAGGGACGAGGAAAGAGTGTGATATGATAACCCACCAACAAACGTAGCAAACCACAACAAGACCCCCACAACGTCCACCCAAATCCCACCTTTCATCCTCCGACAATCCCCATCCCCACGACAGTCAACCCTGCCAAACAACATCCCAAAGATGCCCAACAAAATAACCCAGAAGAGACTGTAGAAAAAATAAAAATCATCAGCCAAGGGACAACAACCACAAACCCAGAAGATAGAGGGGACAGATAATCAAAAAAACGTACAAGACAATCCCATCCAAATAGAAGGTCCTAAAACTCCTCACGAACGGCAGGATGTAGACCACGGCTAGCACGATACTAACACCCACGACCACCTCCGCGAAGACCCAGCGAGAGTCAGCGCGCTCGCCATTCTTTGTCGCGGATTGAAGGTCCCGGCCGTAGATTCCTGATGCCGCTAGGGAGATCAGGATTTGCAGGATGCGGAGGATTAATCGCGGGATTGTTATTTTGCGGGAATCTGGGAGCGGGGCTCTGTGGGATTTATTTTTTTGGACCATGGTTTCCTTTTTCTTTTTTTCTTTTTTCTTTTTTCGTCTTTTTCTTTTCCTTTTCCTTTTTGAAGTGGTGGAGTGGAGTGTTGTATGGTGTATGGTGTATAGTGTATGTAAGTGTATGGTTGTTTGTTTGTAGGAAGGAGGAGGAGGGGGCGGAGTTATCGTGCCTTATATTGTCTTGCAGTACGCATCATTTGTGACGAGCGCTGGGTTATGTTAGCAGTGTGCTGACTTCTCGGTAAAGCTGGGTACTATCTTGCATGGCTCGTTGCGGGGGGGATGGTCTTTCTTGCTTCTGGCTTTTGTTTTGTTGATGTGAAGATATTCTTGTTTTGCGGATCATTTCTGATCTGTTTTGGCTCAAGACCGGTTGCTCATGGTTGCTACTCCCTGGCGCTACGCCATGATGAAACCGTGCAGGGTCCACTTCCTTATCCGGACATGATACTCAGGACAAAGGAGGCTAGGCTGTATTTGATTTTTATTGGCAATTTTTCTAATCTACAGGTGGAGCTGGTTTCGCGAGACGCCCGGTACTTGGAGAAGATACCAGTATGTGGACAGAGGAAGGGAGAGATAAAGTAGGCGACGTGGAGCCTGTCTGAAGGGGGAGAGAGAGTATGGTGCTAAATTTTACTTGGGGATGGGACTACAGTACCGGTAGTCTCCGGCACCAATGGTCCGCGCGCTTGAATGTATGGCTTGGTGATCATTCTGCTGGGGGGTAGACCCCGACTCAGGGTCTTCTTCCTCAAAGAGAACTAGTGCTACACCGGCTTTTACTACGTCCTATGGTGGATTCATCAGTATGCTGGTCCCGGACTGTTACGGTAGCCAAAACTCACCCCTTCCCCGTGCACAATTTTAGCAATTACTCCATCGTGCGGACTTCTTATCACCTATTTAGGGTAAAAAGATCTTCGCATCAGCCTTACCCGCACTCAACCCACCTCCGTTTCATTTCATTCCGCAACTCGATGGGCAAACTCACAGTCTCCATCTTCATGCTCTCGATAACCACCAACGGCGCATCCTTGGCCACCCTATCTCCCTCCTTGACCGAGACCCTGAGCACCTTGCACGGCATGGGCGCCAGCACACTATTCGCCGCGTTCGCCACTCCAAGCACCTTTTCGAACCACGCCGGGCGCGGGATGTCCAGCTTGTACTGCTTCCCGCGCTGGAACACTACTAGCGCATCCTCCTTCCTGACAACCGTCGTTTCGAGGCGGGTGTGTGGGTAGAAGCCTACTACTTTGGACTTCTCTATGGGGGAGATGTGTGCTTTTATGGAGGGGTATGTGGCTTTCCTGTCGACGATGAGGTCGTAAGTTTCCCGTCCTGTCTGCTTTACGGACACGGGAATGCGGGATTCTGTCTCGCCTTTTTTCTCCACGAATTCCACGATGCGCTCTTGGAAGCTGCCGACGAAGCCAATGTTGCCGCCCCAAACGCTGAACGGGTCGGCGGTGGTCTGCTGGATGTTCCCGTTGAGGATCACGGACATGGCGGCCTGGGCGTAGACTTCTGGCGGGGTGTGTTCTATGGCGAAGAGCGAGGTTCTATGCTTGTCTATGAAACCGGTTTCCACTTCCCCTGCGATGAATGCCGGGTGTGCTGCGAGCTTTTTGAGGAATTCGATGTTGGTTGAGAGGCCGACTACCTCATACTCTTCCAAGGCTGCGCGGAGTTTCGCTAATGCCGCGTTTCGGTCCGGGCCTTTTACGATGAGCTTTGCGATCATGGGGTCATAGTGCGGGGATATAATGTCGCCTTCACCGAAGCCGGCGTCTATACGCACTGTCGGTGAGGTTTTGGGCGTGCGCAGGTAGACCAGTTCGCCCGAGTCTGGGACGAAACCCATGTCTGGATTCTCGGCGTATATCCTCGCCTCGAACGCGTGGCCTTCCATCTGCCCCTCGATTTGCTCCTGTGTGAGTGGGAGTGGGAGCCCGGCGGCTACTAGGAGTTGCCAATGAACCAAGTCTGTCCCAGTAACTTCTTCGGTAACTGGATGCTCGACTTGCAGTCTTGTGTTCATCTCCATGAAGAAAAACTCCCCGGTATCGTTGTCGAAGATAAACTCTACGGTTCCTGCGCCCTGGTACCCTACCGCGAGCGCCGCAGCTCTAGCTTTATCCCAAATGTCTTTCCGGAGAACAGGGTCCAAATCTGGCGCGGGCGACTCCTCAAGAATTTTCTGGTGCCGTCTCTGAACAGAGCAATCTCGTTCCCCTAATGCCACACAATTTCCGTGACTATCGGCAAATACTTGGACTTCGATATGTCGTGGAGTAGTAATGTACTTTTCGACGAGAACCACATCATCCCCGAATGAAGACCTGGCTTCGGACTTTGCCGAATTAAGCATGTCCGGGAATTCTGCGGGGGTCTTTGCGATCCGCATTCCCTTTCCACCGCCCCCTTTTACAGCTTTGATCAATACAGGAAAGCCAATTTTTGATGCTTCTTGGAGCAGGAAGTCTGGGGCCTGATTTGAGCCATGGTAACCCGGGATGCAAGGAACTCCAGCTTTGAGCATAATGTCTTTAGATTGGCTATCGGACTCTCGTCAATAACCGTAGTTGTAAACTTCTCCAAATTGTGGAAATACCTCTTATTCCCCATAGCCTCAATTGCTGTAGACGGTGGTCCAATAAATGTTAAGCCCTCATCTGCGACTCGCTTTGCAAACGCCGAATTCTCACTCAACTAATCCGCCTCCCACCTCTATTTAGCTTTTTTTTTTTTACTCCCGAAACCCAATTTATGGTTATGGTTTTGTAGAAATAGAGAGTGAGAACATACAAACCCATACCCAGGATGTATAGAATCACACCCCCTCTCCTTTGCGGCCCTGATTATTTTATCGACATCAAGGTAGGCCGACGGCGGTCCCAAATTTACAGAATGCGGCGTCACACTCGCATGTTGTGCATGTGTGTCCGGATCTGTGTATACGGTTGTTGTTCGGATGCCGTATTTGCTTGCCGTCCGGTTGACTCTCCTGCACCACTTTTTGTTAACAAACCACTGTACCAAGCACCGTGCTCCCGAGGGGAGGGATAATTTGGGGCTGTGGGGGGAGAGGGAGGAGTACAATGCAATCTCCCCACGGTTTGCAATGAGTATACTTGTCAGCGGGCGAGCTTTTGGAACACTGCTGCTCTGCCAACGGAGGGTGGATGGTGTTAGGCCCAGTAGAGCACGCCGGGCAAGGTGTGGGCGAGGCATTTCCCTTTGGGGAAAAAAAAAAAAAAAGCTGGAATGAAGGAGAAACAAGTAGGAGGAGTAGTGAATTGTATAGTATGAGTATGGAAAGTTGAGGATCCGAATCTTAGAGGTGGGGAGGTGGTCGTTTTGGAGCTTGAAAAGTGGGAGGAGAGGTGCGGCTATAAGCGGAGGAGAGCTCTCAGCTAAGCTATGGATGCTATCGCAGCCTGTGTACTCGTATATGTTTTTCGGGCAGGGGTATTTTCGGGGATTAGATGTGGTGGCAAAGAGTGGGTTAGCACTGAGGCTTGTATCATACTTCTATTTGGAGGGGAGCTCTGCGGTGGGAGAGCATCGTAGATCTTGAAATGATCATGAGGCCGCATTCGTTTTCCTTCCAGACTCCTGTTGTGATACCTAACAATGTCATGCCAATATTTTGGCGGATGGTTGGCTTGCTATGACACGGGCTGCTCTCTCTTCACCAGGATTGCCCAAGCTCAACGGCTAATCCCGCGCTCTAACCGGGCGACATCCCCATCCCATCCCGTCACCCATATCCATATCCATTCCATCCTTCGTTTCATCAATCTTCCCCCCTCCTTCTCTCCCCCCCGCCTGCCCTTCCGTTCCTGCCCTTTACCCCCGCTCGGAAAGAAAAATACGTTCACTCATAGCTTTACTCTACAGTATCATACCATCACGCAGCCTGTGATACCACAGCTCTCACTTACCCCTCAAGCCATCTACTAGTCAATTAATAACCTACCTTAAGGGGAAATTCTTCACACTCTCGCACCTATCGTAACATCGCGACTTCCCTACCACCTCACAATACTTCCACCCCAAGTAGGGTAACTTCGCTACCCCCTCCTCCATCCCCCCACAACAAGTCCCTCCATCCCCCCACCCTCTTCTCCCCTCAATCTAACCCTCCACTATCCTCCCAACCAACAATGTCCGACGACGGCTACTCAGACACATACTCAGACGACTTTGCCCCCTACGATGACTATTACGAGGATGACGACCTAGTATTCCACCCCCCCTCCTCCCTCACCCCCGACAAGGTCAAGGCTAACTAAAATTTAACCAAAACAAGGCAGCCCTAGTAGACGCCATGGCCGAAACAGCTTTCGCTCAGGGTGACCCTATATGGGATGACTTCGACGTGGATTACGATACGACAGAGTACCATTCCGACTGGGAGGAGTATTATTCCGACGGAGAGTTTTATGAGGAGGAGGTTGTTGTTCCAAATATGGCTGGTGGTGGTGGAAAGGGTGGTGGGGTGGACGGGAAGAAAAGTGAGGTTGTGGGAACCGGGGTGGTGGAGAGGGGAAGAGGGGGAGGACCAAGAGCAGGGAGGAGAATGCCGCCGAGGAAGAGAAGGAAGATTGAAGAGAAAGGGGTTGGGGTTGTAGGGGTTAGCGTTGGGGCTACGGTGATGGGGACGGGAGAGGATGAAGCGGAGGACGGGGGAAGGAAAGAGCGACCCACAGGAGCAAATCCTATCACTGCCACCGAGGGTAAGAAAAACACTACCGTCATCGTACCCGTAGCCAAGGAGGAAAAGAGGAACGGTACAGTCATCGTTGGGAAGGAAAAGGATGGTCCCGCAAAGGCCGAGCAAGGTGCGGGGGCGCCAAAGCTCGACACTAGAAAGCGGAAACCCTCCGTTGATGGGAATGAGATCCTTTCAATTGATTGATTTCCTGATTACTTGCTTGCTCTATTCACCGTTTTCCATACCATGTCTGCTTCTGACAACACTTTCTTTCCTCCGTTCCCTTTCTCTATTACCCATTGTCTAGCTATCTGGTCAGTTGGGCCTTGTCCTGTTTTCCACCGGTAGTGAGGAGTCTCTTTTGTCCATTTCCCCCGTGGCTTTTTCGTTCGCAGTTTTTTATTCTTCTTTTCATTAGCTACTCTTAATGCCCTTGCCCGCAGCGGGCGGGCGCGCGAAATGGAATAAGTTAGAGATTGGAGGTATGGGGTTGGCTGTGTTAGAGCAATTGGAGTCTCTCTCTCTCTCTCTCTTTTTTTCCTCTTTTCTCTTTTCCCCCACTTCGTTCGTTGGGTTGGCTAGTGATGCGATTTGGGGATGCCATCTACTCCGCAGCTACTACGATTTGAAATATATTGTGGTGCTATCTATGCTAAGTAGGCTTTGTCGGTTGGGTACTTTTAGTGGTGGGCTAGATAATTCTGGCTTGGGAATTCCGGTGGTGTTCGAGTGATTTGTTGTGATTTGTCTCAGGTATCATGCTGCTGCGCACCTAAATGAATGGGGAGAGTGAAAATTGGAGGTAACTTGTTGGCATCTAACGCAACGGTACACTTTCTACTCCAGCGCAGGATTTAAATGACCTGATCAGCATACTCCTTATTGAACGCTCTTCCAATGACGATATGCCTAATCTGCGTCGTTCCCGCGCCGATTTCGTAAAGCTACCCCACCCCACCCCCAAATCACAAATTAGCAGGCAGACCCTATTGTAAGCACGATAGGTGTGGAAAACGAGCAAAACCGTACCTTAGCATCCCTCAGTAGCCTCCCAGCCGGCACCTCATTAACATAGCCATTCCCACCCATACACTGAATAGCATCAAGCGCACACTCCGTCGCGCGATCCGCCGCGAACAAGATCGCCCCGGCGCAGTCCTTCGTATCGATAACGCCCTCATCCACCCTCCTAGCCGCCGCGAAGGTGTACGCCCTCGCGGCGGATAGCTTCGTGTGCATGTCCGCTAGCTTTGCCTGTATGAGTTGGTTGTGCGCGATTGGGATGCCGAATTGCTTGCGCTGGTGGACGTATGGTAGTGTTATGTCCAGCGCTGCTTGCATCAGTCCCAGTGGGCCGGCGGACAGGACTAGGCGTTCCAGGTCCAGGCCTTCCATTAGCACGCGCACGCCTCTATTCGTCGGGCCGAGTTGGTTCGCGTGGGGGACGAAGACGTCGTCGAAGATTAGCTCTCCGGTGTTTGAGCCGCGCATGCCTAACTTGTCGAGCTTCCGCGCGCAGGTGTACCCCTCCATGCCTTTCTCGAGTATGAGGGCGGTTATGCCTTTCTAAGGGGCTGTCAGTAATAGTCGGTTGGTTTGGGGGAGGGGGCGGGGGAGGGGAGGTGTACGGATCCCTTTTCTGGGTCAGTTTTTGCATATACTACTACTACGTCTGCATCTGGTCCCTACCCTCTCATATTAGCACTTACATCTCTAAGCATGACGTGAATGGCAATGCGTGCATTCGTGATCCACATCTTCGTCCCATTAAGCACCCACCCGCCATCAACCGCCTTCGCATGGCACTTCATGCTGACAACATCACTACCAGCCGAATGCTCACTCATAGCTAACGCGCCCACCTTCTCACCCGAAATTAGAGCAGGCAGCAGCCTCTCCTTCTGTTCGGCTCTCCCGTTGAGCGTGAGCTGGTTCACACACAGCTGCGAGTGTGCAGCATAGCTGAGCCCGATGCTGCCGGAGGCGCGGGATAGCTCCTCCATCACGACGCAGTGCGCCTGGTAGCCGAGTTCGAGCCCGCCGTAGTCTTTTTCCGCAGTGATGCCCAAGAAGCCGGCTTCGCCGAGCTTGCGCCACATTGGTTCTGGAAATTCGTTTGCGCGGTCCACCGTAGCGGCGAATTCTTCGGGGATTTCACGCTCTACAGGGAGGGAGGGAGGGGTTGTCAGCTAGGGCTGGGATGGAACGGGTGGAGGGGGGGGTGAGGGAAACGGACTAGTGAATTCCCGAACTTGTTCCCGAAGTTCAATTAGGAAATCGGAGGTGGGTGGTTCGAAGTTCTTAGTATGCTTCGTAGAGGCGAAACGACATGATAATGGCCCTGTAATTGCCTGGTGTGAGGCGGTCACAACTCTCCGGGTGAGCATTGAGCGGGTTAAGATTGATAGTGAGGACATGCTACCCCCCCCCTTTTTTTTCCACTCCTTATTTTATTTCGTGATATGGTTCGATCGTGGGTCTGTGAGACGGAGGAAGATTTATGGCGGTAGTGTCTATATGGTGGTGGTGGTGTTTGTAACAGCTGGAAATGGTCTGTTGGGGAAATTGTACGAGTAGTCTTACTCGGTAGAGACGATGGGGAAGAGGTACCCGTGCGGCTACAATCGGCAGTAAGCATGCTCCCACAAGGTCTCTCCACATTCGACTATTACAGTACCATAGGAGATTCCCGTTCTGGAGGCCCTTCGGCCACTAATAAGCGGTATTGGGTCGGGGTTATCCTTCTGGTAAACCTTTCCCTCAACATCGTATTGCACTGTACTTGTATCATACCTATCATATCTATGATACTGGTATTAATAAACCCTCCACCGTTCGGGCACGACATAAAAGTAAACAATCCTCCTTCACCATAACGAGCACAATACCAACAACCACCAAAATGTCCCACCCTTTCCTCCGGAGGCTCCCCCACCTACTGCCCCGCACTACTGCCACCACCGCCATACCCAAACACACCGGCTTCGGCCGCGCAATAGCAACCCACTCGCACCCACACTTCGAATCCGCGGTTTCTACGATCCGCAGCACGGTGGACACCTCGTCTCCGGAATTCAAAGAAAATGCTGCGCAGATGGGGGCGATAATCACTTCCCTGCGCTCCCTCCACGAGAGCATAAAACTCGGTGGGCCTGAGAAGGCGCGGGAGAAGCATTTAGCGAGAAAGAAGATGTTGCCGAGGGAGTATGTTTTTCCCCCCTCCTCTTTCATTCTCCCCTCGTTGTTATTAGCGGTTGGGGAGGAAGAAAGGAAGAAACTAACGGAAATGGTGGCGGCTCTGGTAGTCGTATTACGGCATTGTTGGATCCCGGGTCGGCGTTTTTGGAGCTATCGCCGTTGGCGGGGTATCAGTTATACCCTGGGGAGGACGTGCCGGCTGGAGGAATCATCACCGGGATTGGGAGGGTTTCCGGAGTGGAATGTATGGTTGTTGCTAATGATAGCACGTGCGTGTTCCCTCCCTTCCCCTTTGCCATTGACTACGAGAATAATTGTGCTAAAGGAACATGTAGAGTTAAAGGAGGGACATACTACCCAATTACTGTAAAGAAGCATATTCGTGCCCAGGCAATCGCCCAAGAAAATAGTCAGCCTCACCCCCTCCCCTCTCCTGCTCTCCGTTCTAGTGGGTGTTCAATTACTCATCTACTGGTGGAATAGGACTACCATGTATCTACCTCGTCGACTCTGGCGGTGCCAACCTCCCCCACCAGGCAGACGTATTCCCGGACCGCGACCACTTTGGCCGTATCTTCTATAACCAAGCTAGAAGTGCCCCTCCCAATTCCCCTTATCCCCCCCTCCAACACCTAAAATCTAATTTAAGACTAACCGCCGAGTGATGCCTAGTGTCTGCCGACGGAATCCCGCAAATCTCCGCAGTAATGGGCCCATGCACAGCCGGGTACCCCCCCCTCCCCCCTCCCCCCTCCCCCCTACTAACGGCGTGTGTATAGAGGAGCATACGTCCCAAGCATGTCCGACGAATCTATAATCGTCGAAAACTCCGGAACAATCTTCCTGGCCGGCCCGCCCCTCGTGAAAGCAGCCACAGGCGAAGAAGTAACCGCCGAATCCCTCGGCGGCGGATCCCTACACTCGAAAGTCAGTGGTGTAACGGACTACCTCGCGGTATCGGATGCCCACGCACTGGTTCTAGCACGGCGTTGCATCGCAAACCTAAACTACCCCACCACCACCACCACCGACGTGCAAGCGTCGGCAAAAGGCCCACTATACGACCCAGCAGAACTTACCGGCATCGCAGGCACAAACCTCCGCAAGCCGATAAACCCCCACGACATAATCTCCCGCATAACAGACTCCTCGGAATTCTCCGAATTCAAACGAGAGTACGGCACCAGTCTCGTGACGGGTTTCGCGCGCATACACGGATACCCTGTCGGCATACTCGCCAACAACGGCATACTCTTCTCCGAGAGCGCGCTGAAGGGTGCGCACTTCATACAGATGTGCGCGAAGCGTCGTGTCCCGTTGCTGTTCTTGCAGAACATCTCCGGCTTCATGGTCGGCAGTCAGGCGGAGGCTGGGGGCATCGCGAAGAATGGGGCGAAGCTGGTTAATGCTGTTGCTTGCGCGGATGTTCCGAAATTCACGGTTGTGGTCGGCGCGTCGTATGGCGCGGGGAATTACGGTATGTGTGGGAGGGCGTATGGGCCGAGGTTTTTGTGGATGTGGCCAAATGCGCGCGTCGGCGTTATGGGTGCTGAGCAGTTGGATGCCGTCATGCGGACCGTTGGGACGAATGTGGATGAGGGCTTGAAGGGGAGGATTGAGAGGGAGAGTGAAGCTGTGTTTGGCTCTGCGAGGTTGTGGGATGACGGCGTTATTGCGCCCGAGGATACTAGGGCTGTTCTAGGGCTTGGGCTGAGGGCGGCCCTGGGCGGGAGTGTTAGAGAGCCCGATACCAAGTTTGGGGTTTTTAGAATGTAGAAAGATGCTGTCATCGTATATAGCCTAGCCTAATCCTTGTCATCCTAATCTTCCTTTCCATCACCTCCCTGGAACATGTCTATCTCTGGGGAACTCTGGAAAATGGATATCATTGCAAGAGGAGAAAAGAAAAAAAAAGAAAAAACAGGCAAAGATGTCAAGCAATTGTAAATAGCAAGAGGGACTGGAAAAAAAAAAAGACAAAAAAAAACAATCGGGACGCCAGTGATTCGCCTTATGCCACCCTAAAAAACACATTCCATCCATAGCCACCTTCATAGTCCATAGTCCAATCCCATATTCAGTTTCAGTCCAGTCCAGTCCGTTGATCCGCCAATGCTTTCCTGCTTTGCTTCCTTCTTTCTGTCCCCCCCGTTCGCTGTTCCATGGGTCCACAGCCAACCTCCCATCCGCAATTGACGATGCCGGGGAAATTCGAGCTAAAAGAAGCAAGGGAAGGGGAAGCTAAAAGGTTAAAACAGAGGGGGGTGAAAGAAAAAAGTAAAAAAAGTATATCTACAACGAAGGGTTAGAGAAAGAAAAAAAGAAAGAAAAAACTCCTGCAATACCACCCCCCCCCCCAATACCTCTTTCTCTTTCTTCACAGTATAACACAAAACCTCCTCTTCCTCGGTGTCTGATAAACCTTCTCAGAGGATCCACCACTCGCGCCCCCCCCGCTCCCCGACCCGCCCACATCCGCCCTCATCATCTGCCGGCAAAGGTCCAGAAACACCTCATCGACATTCTGCCGCTTTCGTGCAGAGGTCTCGTAAAAGGGAACCCTCCCCCACTTCTGAGAGAGCATAATCGCCCTGTCGCGACGGACCGCACGATCCTCTTCCAGGTCGGACTTGTTACCAACAATCACCAAAGGCACAGAATCGGCTTCCTTTATCCGGAGAATCTGGTCGCGGAGATCCGAGAGCTCTGTGAGGGTGCTCAGGCTTGTGATTGAGTATACTAGGAGGAAGCCCTGACCTGTTGATTATAGGATAAAATTTTGTGCCGAGGGTTAGTTATGATAGAGAAAGGGTCTGACTCGAGAGGCAGAGAGGGAGGGGGGGGGTGAGGTTATATGTACCAGCTTTCATGTAAATTTCCCTAACAATCGTCAGTCAAAATACACATCAGGGGAAGCAATCGAGAGAGTGTGTGTAAGAGAAAGTGAAGAGGAAAAAAACCTCACCTCATGGCGGCTATTACTCACAATTCCCAGCAAACCCGTTAGAAAAAAAACAACTTTGATCCCAACAATATCACCCTCATCTACCATCCACCGTCCATCCATCAATCACACACAATCCCGTGGGGGAGAGGAGAACAGCAGAAGAAAAAAATCAAGAGGAAAAGGCCACTAACTAAATTGTTCAGTCCCAGCAGTATCCAAACTAACCATCGAAAGGATCAGCAACCCCGATCGATCAATCGCGCTTAAAACAAAAACAAATGGGGGATGGATAAAGAAGGGGAAGGGGAACAGGGAAAGGAAGAAACTGACATCTCAAGAATACACGACCGTCCCTAAAAATAAATACAATCCCACCCATTAGCTCCCCACCAGTCAATCGGATATGATAGAAGGGAAGACAAACATCAACATCGATGACCTTCCTGTAAACATCCTCAATTGTGGGATCGTAATACTCGATCCACTCGTTGTGTACGAATTGCGCTATCCGTGATCGCCCTTAGCACCTCCCCCCACAGCCATTCAACAGCATATAGTAAGGGGACAGATGGATAAGGGAAACAAACATGTCAAACAGCTCTTCCCAACACCGCCTACTCATCCACCATCAGCCCCAGCCCAAGGAAAGAGCGGTAGGGGAAGGGGGGGGGACTCACCAGCTCCAAGAATCACAATATGATACTCTCGTCTTCTGCTATTCGTATCCGGGGTCAATCTTGCAAAAAGGGTTGGGGTAAATGGAAACGGGGTAGGGTAGGGCTGAAGTTGTCATCATACCTGTGCTGCATAGATAATGGTTGGTTTGGTTATAGCAACCCGCCCTGTTGTTTTCGGGCGATGGTGAGTGAGTGAGTGGGTGGGTGAGCGAGTGAGTCGGAGGTAGGTTGAGAGTGGTGATGTGAGTTCGGTAAGTAGGTAGTGAGTGCTGGTGATGGGAAGATGGTGAAGTTACGATAGTTTGTGAACGAGGAAGGGGCGAGAAGGTGAAGTGAAGAGGGTCTGGTAAGCAGGCAGGTGGGTAGGTGCGGGCAATGTGAGATGCTGAGGCGAGTTAAGTTTAGGTAAGAAAAACTAAGTTAAGCTAGACATGAGCGAGCAGAGCGTTCGCTACCACAACAGCGTCTCAGCCCAAACCAACGTTTGACTATGATGATACCTTAACTTATCGTTTCTCTCTTGCTTGTAATCATTATATACAACTCCTCAAACTTTTTTCTTCCTCTCGCTCTCTCACTCGGAGACTTTCTCCTCAGTTCCATGACTTTGGAAAAAGCACTCACTTCATGGACTCACAGTCTCACGGAATTCACAGCCCGATAACTTACAGTACCTCCTCCCCTGACTTGACTGCGGCAAGTACAGTACTCTATCATACAAGTATGTTACCCCCCCCCCCCCAAAAAAAAAAAAAAAAAAAAAAAAGCATGACCAAAAACCCACCAAACACCGCCCTTCCCACCAAATCAAAACCAGGGCACAACTTTCCCCTCCTGCGCAAAAATTTTTTTCTCCCCTCTCTATTCTTCCCTGTGCACGTACTGTCAATATGCGCGGTCGGTGTAACATGGACCGGTTCTTCATAGTGCAGCACGGCAAACCAGGCGGTGTCCTGGACGAACAAAGCTTTGTTGGGGCGGCAGTTTCTATTGTAGAGACAAGTGTGTCTGCGTATAACAGCATCGCATGTACTCGTACATTGCAGCACTAGCATGGCAGGACGCTGCATACGTCAATCAGCCAGCGCTTCCTTCCTTTCCTCCCCGTTAAGTTAGTGCTTGTTTACCCGTTAAGTCACTTGCATAATAATTATCATGTTTATGTGTTCGCATAAGATAGGGTATGTAGGGCTGGCCACTACAGAACTTGTGATATTCACGAGATTTTTCTCGCTATGATAACTGTCTGGAGTGGTACGGTGGTGGTGAGAATCAAGCATGCCAGCACAACACAAGCCCCATTTTTTTTCTTTTTCTTTTCTTTCTCACCCTTATCCATATGGCGCAGTGGGGAAGGGAAAAAGAGTTTTTTCTCAGTCTGGGGCATTGGCAGTGCCGTCGGCCGAGTGCAGCACCGGTACCGCACATACCATCATCGGTGCAAACCCCGTAGGAAGGCGCAGAGACTATGATAACCTACGCAAGCCCGGCACTCTCCTCTCCTTCTCCACCGACCATACCAGTACCATTCGTGTGGGTCCATTCACCCATTCATTATTCCCATCGAAACAATAACGATGAGCAGGCACAGGGATAAAGGGAAGAGCAGTAAGTAGCTCAATTTTTTATTAGCCCTTCTCTTCCTCTGCCGAACCGACATCTGTCAGGAGAGGGAGGGAGAGGGGGAGGGGTATGATGTTATGAAACAAACGGGCGAAACTCATCGGAGGTTTCTATCTAAAGTACATGCGATCCCGGTAACCAATTGCGCTGAAAATACGAATGCAGTACAGGTGCTCGAGTACTGTGTCTAACTTGATCGAATCAAATAAAGTTAAAAAGAAAAGGACACAACACGCCAAAAAAAAAAAAAAAAATTTAGAAAGAAAAAAAAACTCCCAAACTCCAGAACTAAACCAGGCCAGGCCAGGCCAAAATGACTAATCTACCGGTATGGTGATGATGATGATGCTGGGACAAAGGGAAAAGAAAATTAGGGAAAAAAAAGAGGAAAAAAGGAAAAATATACAAGTACAGTACAAGTACCGTATCCGATAGAAAGTTAGTCAACGGTTACTCTACTGTAGGTTAGCCTATAAAACGACCCCTGCCTCGCACGAAAAACTCCTCCCCAGGTACTGTACATGCTCGAGTACGAGTACATGCTCAGGCAAGGAAGTGGGGTGGAGCACGAAAGAAAAAACAATCTCAAGGCAACGACGAGCTTGTCTCCCCCTCCAACGCTCTAGCTCTCATCTTCGTGTCCCACTCCTCCATCCTCTTCTCCGCCCGAATTCTCAACGGCTCGCCATGTCTGTAAAGGAACAACGGGAACAGGATGCCCAAGGGTAGGGCAATGAACCCCATGAGGGAATTCCCCCAGCCGTAGCCCAACTTATCATACATCTGCTTTCCGAAAAGCGGGAAGGCGAAGGCGACGAGCGAGCGGAAGAGCGTGGATGCGCTGACGGCAGAGGCGGCGTAGCGCGGGGACATGTCTATAAGGTAGGTCTGTATGGCCGCGAACACGGGGATCATGCCGGCGCCGAAGAACGCCGTGCCGATCAGCGGCATGATCCAGTGCAACTGTTTCTCGGCCGACCAGCCATACCAGAAAAGTCCGGTGGTGACGAGGACGCCACCCATGAGCAGGGTTGGCAGCCGGTATTCGGGCTTGGCCACGCCGTTGTTGGCCGCTGTGAGTCTTAGGTAAATCTTTTGCAGCAGCGGGGTGAAGACTATTAGGCCCACCATGAAGCCCACGCCCGGCCCCAGGTAGTTTAGGCCTGCGATGCCAATAGATTGGCCATATTTGCCTTGGAAGAGGATCGGGAAGGTGACGAACAAGAGGTAGAGGAAGCCGTACACCTTTGGCCATTTGTCAGCTTCGGACGAATAGATAGGGACCCGCGTGGAAGGGATGGAGAAAACTCACGAATGCCAGGAAAAGGCTCAGCATCAGCAACACTGGGTTCATAACGAGCATCTTCACCGGCCGAGTGATAGCGATCAGGAAACCAGTCCTAACATCCTCCGTGACCTCGAAGATGGTATGAAGGTTCTCATTTCCGGTTTCCTTCCTTAGTCTCGCAGCCTTGCGGTTCAGGATGACGACTATATTGACGCATTTGTTGGCTTTATTCACCCTTGCGCAAGATCTTTGAACAAGCGGAAAGATGGAATACGCACCAGCATAAGTCTCCTCCTTGAAGACAATCATTCCGATAACCATGCTAACACCACCCAGGATCACGAGAATCCAGAACACCCACCTCCAGTCGATGTTCTCGACGACAAAACCAGCCATGACAGGAGCACAGATGGGGCCAAGGAGGGGCTGTGAAACGGGAGAGCCGTCCATATCAGTATACGTGTGATCTTGAAGGGGAATGGAGCAAGCGCACCCCAATTGAGAAGATGGCCATAGCGCGGACCAGATCCACAGGCGCCCAGATATCAGAAAGAATCCCACCACCAAGAGCCAGCGGCGCACTCCCGGCCAGACCAGATAACAGTCTGAAGACCATCATCTGCGCCGTGCTATTCGCAAGCGCGCAGGCAATGCTGAAAATGAGGAAGAGCACAGTGGTCACACGTATGACTATGACTCTACCAAACAATTCCGACAATGGCGCCATGAATAACGGTCTATCTCTCCCTCCATCTCGATTAGTCACACATTCCACGCAATTGCATAAGAGATGTGGAAGCTCACCCAAGCGCAAAGCCAATCAGGAAGATTGAAACCGTCATACTTGCAATGGTAGGGCTGGTAATGCCAAACTCGGCGGCGTATTCTTGTGCCGCAGGAGCAGCTACACTCGACGCAAACGGCGAGACAAAGGTGTACATGCCGATGACGAGCGTGATCCTCCACTTTTTAGCAGTGGGGAAGTTTCTCGGGTTCTCCGGGTCCTCAGGACCATCCCTACTACATCATCAGCAATCACTCGCCTCCAGCCAACGAACTCATGCCAAGGGGGGGATAATACCATGTGACCAACTCCTTATCGATATCTATAAACTCCGAAGCATCCCCCGGCGCATCTAGCTCCCCTAACTTCTCTGTCTGGTGAGAGTACACCTTCCGCAACTCCCGCAACCGCTGGGGGCGTTCCCACTCCTGCAGGAAGTCCCCGACATAGTCCTTTTCCGTCGCCACCGAAGAAAGGGATTGTCGTCTGTCGAGGCTGCGTCGGCCGCTCTGTGCTTCCGGGTCTATGTAGCCATGTCCTGCGGCCATTGTCATTGTTGAGCTGTGGGTGCCGACTCGCTGTAGTGGTGGTGCGGCGTCGTGGGGTGGCGGTGGTGAAGGTGACGAGGGCATGGTGGGCCTATACTGGAACTATTATCGTGGCCGCCGTGGTAGGTATGAAAGTATGATAGTGGTTAGTTATGATAAACTTAGATTCACCTCCCACCAACGCTGTATATATATGAATATACTAGACTGGGCTTGAAAATAGTGTATGATATGAAGACCCTAAAGCTACTCTTCCATTCCCTTTATATATATACATCTAGCCACCCCACCCCTCTCTTGGGAGCTTCCAGGTACCCACACGCAATTTTCCCTTTCCGGCAGGACCTTCAGCACCGGACAGACCATCGTGAGCTACATAATTTGCCCGCGGCGGGCAGTGTGAGTACTATACTGGTACGAATTCCCACCTGAGCAGGTTGCAGATACGGTAGCATAGCGTCATATCTCGCAAGAGAAACACTCAAGGAACACTCGGTTAAACAGTGCCGAGGAATTTTTGAAAAGGAAGCACCAGACCAATCTCCAGAAACACCGAGAATTCGCTTGTGTCTTGTTGCTTACCCACTTTTTCTTTCTTTTTTTTTCTTTTTTCCCTTCGATTTTTTTCTATTTTTCTCCCCGTATGATAGTTTTTGCTCTCTGCAAGCGGGGAGGGGGGGGGGGGAGAGGGAAAATAATAATAATAATAATAATAATAATAAAAATTTTGATTGATGCGCCCCTCGGCTCTCGGTTCATTATTAATAGGATTACTGGTCGGGACATTACAAATCCCCCGACACAGGAGTTTGGGAAAACGGTTAATTCAGGTTAACCAGTGAGATGATCCCAGTACTGTGGAACAGCACCTCCCCCTCCTCGGCGCTTGTAAACTTGGGATTCACGAATTGCCAAATCAGGTCGGCAGGCGGATGGAGGACTTAGTCTAGGTGTAGGTGCCTGTATATTTTGTCCGGAAAAAGTAATTCCCGAGGTGCGGCTGCGGCTACCGCGCTGTTCCTCAAGGCCTTTTTGCCCCCCCCCCCTCCCAGCCCAGGCTTCTGGTGGTCCTACGGTGCATGACACATCCGGACGTCGGGCGCCCCGGAAAATCACCGTGACGCCGGGGCGGGAAGGTGGGGTAGGGGTACTTGTAGGGTACAGTACAGCTACAGTACTCTGTATGACATGACTCCATTTAAATTTTTAGAATTTTATTTCGGGCGGTACCGGTACAGGGCGGTGGGGCGTGGCTGTACCCGAGTATATCATTTTTTGTGTACCCGTACGAGTATCATAAAACTATAAAAGTATACATATAGACCATTTATTTGCACTTGCAAAGAGTTACTGTACCCGCATTCCGCAGAGTTCTCGTAAAACCATTTCTGTAATTACGGAGCGAAGCAAAGCGAAGTAAAGCGTTTCCAAGCGCCGGAGGTTACTGAAGAAGGTATACATCCCTAAAGGCATTTATACGGGAGAGACAGAGGAGCTTTAGGAAATGCGGCTGTGCTTACTGGGCTTGTGCCCGTATTAGAGAGAGGGAGGAATGGAGCTCTCGCTCGACCTGATCTCGTAGAAAGCTTATCCAGGCCCTCCGTGATACGATGATGATTCGCCTTGGGTCGCACCGATCAACACGTCCTACTCCATGTCCTTTGCTGTATACTGTATACTGTACTGTACACTACTCGTTCGAGTAGATCATACATGGACCCACAGCCGTTTATCGACTGACAATCCTACCCATCCATCCATTCATCCATATCACGCGCGCGCGAGAAAACTCGTTCGAAGTACTGTACAACGAAATGAAAGGAGGATTCGCCAGGTATGAGAGATAGTTCTAACAATAGGAAGAAAAGGGACCTGACGATTTCGCATCCGCAGTCAAATCCTGACGATTTTGGCCGAACCCGGAACAAGCAGTCAGTTGCCTTTATGGGTAGGTACTATAAAGTACAGTAACATTTTTTCGCAAAGCCTCAATCAAATATACCAAAAAAAGAATCCTGATTGTTCTGGAGATCCCAAACTTTGTTTCTTGCACAGGACAGGTACCTGTACTCGAGTGAAATATGATTCACTTTGTCCACACCACCCCCCCCCCCTCCCCCCACCTGTTCGTTGTTTGTCCCCACCTTCCTACCCTCCAGCTCCAGCTCTCTGGAAGGCTACACAAACGCATCCGGCCCGGAACAACCGGTGCGGGGGTGGGTGAGGGGGGCATTTGATTCCTTGCAAAAAAAGATGGTCGGGAGCTACTGTAACTTGTACGAGTTCTGTACTCGTACTTGTAAATGCAAGGATTGCAGCTAAGCTACATACCTGTACAGTACTGTACCAGCGCTGTACTGTAGCTCCCGCCATCATCATCCTTGCGACCTTTTGCGGGGTTGGTTGGCTTGGCGGATCACAGGTTTTCATGTGCTGTCACTCGGTATTTTATACTTTGTGCTTTGTACTTTGTGTGCTTTTCCGGCTGGGTTTTTGGGGGTGTTTGGAAGGTGATGGGTTCGTCGAGTACGTGTTAGACTATCGTAGTCTTGGGTGCCGTTGTTGTGTCGGGGGATGGTTCGAAGTTCGAGGTATCATATGCGGCGCAATTCAGGTTGTATCATACTGTATCATACCGCGCCGAAATTTCACCGCTATGGATGAGCTCCAGCTGGGACGGGGGGGTATCCTTTCTCGCTTTGGCTGGGCAAAGTGTGGGGTATAATATCATAGTTTTCAAACGGGGGTGGGGGTTAGGAGTGGATTGGCTGCACCTCTGTCTGTGCTTGGTATCCTCGAGTATGTACAGTACTGCGCGTGTGTGATGCCTTTCTTGCCCGGGGGTTTTGCCGTGCTGGGGGGTGTATATCCGGGTTGAAACCGGGAAGTTTTCACTTGTATGATATGATAAGAGGATGACAAGTCCGGAGTTTTGCATCAAGGGTACTTTACACAATCAGCGCGGGACTATAATATTACAGCAAATAACAAGCAATCGTGTTATCATAAAAAAACTTCCCACACAGCCACAACTTCGTATGTATATCAGAAACAGCGGAGAGATGAGAGAGAGATACCCGAATCGGGCAAGGCGATGAGTATACTCTTTTTAAAACATGCTGAATGGTGCAGGAGGAATTGGAAAGACAATTTTGGTCGGGAGAGGAATGTCCAAATGGTAGCAAGGTATATGATGATATTATGGATTGTAGTATATATCCTGTAATCGGCGAGTGGGTTGGTACTTCCGCTGATCTCTGCAGCATCGTAATTGCCATTTTCTTAGTTTAACATTTGCCTCACTTACTTTGTGATACCCGATATATATCAATATCATACCGGTACTCCTCTTAGTTTATGTCATACCCGAGTTACAGACCCTTTTACCCCCACAGCGACATCCGAATTCCAAAAATTAATATCCGGATTTATCTTTTTTTTTTCCTTTTTCCTTTTTTCAACCCGGTGGAAATGATAAAGAACAGCATAATAGGTAATAGCAACGAAAAAAGCTATCACTGAACAGTCAATTCTCTCTCACTCAGCCTCTGCGAGGGATTTGATGTACTGTACTGTACTTACTGTATAAAAATAAATCAAGAGGTACCACAACTTAATGGCTAAAAAAGAGCACGAAAAGTTCATCGACCAATCATTTCCTCCATTTTTTCCCCAAATTTTTGAGAGGTCCCCGAAGCTGAACCCAACCCCGGTTCAGAACCCTTCTCAAGCTCAGTTGTTCGACCCATATATGATGGGAACAGCTCTTTCCAGAATTTTAGCGCGAAGAGTTTGCCAGGGTCCCCCCCTCTTCCAGATTCCTTGCGGGCACGCCATAGTACTTCCCATGGAATAGTAATCAATGATACCACCAGTACCTTCCATGTACCCCTCCATAGCAGGGTATGATAGATCGAGCATCTCCAGCCCCAAGTGCGCGATCATTCGCAGTCCCTTTTGACTACCGATGCTGCGGTGTGGGGGTTGCTGGGCGAAGTCTCGCCTTCCATGCCATAATTAGACTGTGATACCTGCCGCTATCTACTCGTATATATGATACGAACATTGGTGCTCTGGCTCGATCCAATCGCACTGTACGAGTAGTACTGTACTCGAGTACGAGTATAGTACTTGTGAGTTACCCGTATTGCGCGGCACTTGTTGAAATCCGCCCAGCGGGACCTCAACATAAATCACTGCCTAAAACGGGCTTAGCGGAGTAGGGTACCGTAGGTTAGCAAAATTACGGATAAGTTATGTACCAGTTGATGAGATCCACTAGGTACTCGTACAGTAAGTTCAGGCTCCTCGCCAGGCTACCGGTAGTATAACTCCATCCGGATAACACTATTCTTCCTTACCCGAGTGTTTTGTCTTTGATCGGAGGGATCCGAACCCGATCCTAGATGGTGGATTTAATAACGAGTTTAATACGGTTACAGCGTCAGCTGCCTTCTGCGGTGCTACCGTGGTACAGTTAAAAACCTTCATATACCCGATAGAGCTGCGAATCCGTGTCTGTTCAGCATTGATGCTGCCGTAGTGTATCGAACCGCAAACTCGAACACCATCGACATCTGAACCCCTATGATGGGAAACTACTGGTGCTGGTTCTGCACCCCTCCCCCACCTGCCCCGCCTAGCCCCCCCCCCCGGCCTTCGCGGCTCGTGCCGCTCCTTGATCATAGTCCTATCATGCCCACTGAAGCTGTGCCTATGATAGGTATCATAAGCGGACAAGCCTATCGTATAAGTTAGACACTATTCCTATTATATTCCAGCTAGCGCCACACCCGTGCAATCCCGAGCCTACCGGCTCGCGTGCGGTGATAGGATGTCCGGGCTTCGTCCTTCCTTCTACGCCGCCGCTGGTGTGCGAGAGGTGTACATACTTGTACTATATCTGACGGAAGTTGAATTAGCCTACGGCATAACTGTACTGTACAGTACTTATACGGTATTACCATGGAGGATGTGAGTGTCGAAGCCCCCCGGCCCTTGGTAATATTGCAATTTGGCTAGAGTGTTACAAGTACCGAGGGAGAAGGTATCGCGTCCAATTGTATGGCATGGGGTAGGACAAGTTCTTGGGGCTTGGGGATTGGGCTATCGTGGCGAGAAGGAAATTTCCATGTATGATATAGTATGATACTTGTGACTTGGTACTCTCATGTGACCCCGACAGGCCGATCAGTGGGCGGTTTGATACTTTGGCCTTGCATGGGCGGGGTACTTATATTAGCGCTAGACTACCCTATCATATGAGTACAGTGGAACGGCAAAACAAAGACAAAGCCCCACTCCTACTACCTTCCCTGCAACTTCCGCATCCTCTCCTCTGCAGCTCTAGCCCTGCGTTCCCTCTCTAGCCTTAACTTCGCTTCGGGGGTTAATCCTTTCTCCTCCTCTTCTCTCCGACTGAGTCCCATAACCACAGAACTGGCAAGCGACTTCCCCCCGCCCCTTGCTGGGCTCTTGACCTCTTGCTGCTTCAGTTTCTCAAGCTCCCTCTGTCTCCTAGCTTTCTCCTCCTTCTCATTGTCTGCCCTTTCCCGGTTCTCACGTTCTTCGGCTTGCTTCCTTGTGAGCGCTGTTGGAACCCTAGCCTCTGCCCAGTCCCATTTCGACTCGCCCAGCTCGGCTCTCGCAACTCTAAAGGCGTCGCGCGTTGCTCGGTCGCCAGCTAGTTCAAAAGGGGTTTTTGGCTGCTGGGGGTTGGTGTATGTAGGGTCTGAGCCGGCTTTGGCTAGTAGTGCCGATACGACGGCCGGGGAGTTTGATGATGCTGCGAAGTGAAGGAGAGTTGGGGAGTGGTTGTTTGGAGGGTGAAATTGGAAATCTGGAGATAGTTTGTTCGTGGCCAGATACGAAAGGAGTGCTGCAGCTTTGGATCGGCGGATGAGAGCGGTTATCTGTGTCGAGTGAAGGATCTGAGCTTCTTCCTCTTTGGTAAGTTTTGGCATTTCGGGTTTAGGAGGCTTGACGGTGGGGGGTTCCACTGCTTTCCTGGACTCTTCCGCGAGCGCTGCTAATGCCGCTTCATCGACCCGGGAGACCTTCATGCGGGTGAGTTCTGTGAAGCAGCGGAGGAGTTCGCTTTGGGTTGCTCTCCTTGTGGTGAAGGGGAACCCGCGGATCCTTGGATCCTGGCTTTGTAATGGCGCATCATCGTAGCTAAAGAGTGTCCGCCTATTGACCGACCCAGTGGCTCTGATGAATACGAGTTTGGCCGTATCTATGAGCCCCTGCCAGCTTGCGAGTAAATCGCGGACTTCAGTCATCAGCATGGCTTCGTTGTATCTTCTGATCTGGGCACCAGCAGACTGGGCATTGCCTTTTGCTGAGTCGTTCGAGGACTGCGCTCCTCCCTGCTTTCGTCTAGTTGTATACCGATGAAATGTCTTATGCGCCAGTACTGTGACCTCACGCTCCATCGTACCTTGCTTTTTTACATTTCGGGGGGCAAGGGAGACGACCATTGCAGCAAAATGACCACCACCAATCATACACATAAATATATGAGCTGGCTTCTCCCCAGGCTTTGATTTGAGTTGGCTGGATTGTAGTCCTGAAATGTAGTCCACCCCCTCCCGTTCCGTATGCGAGAATAGTGCCCGGTAGACTCCCAGCGAAATGGTAGGTGGCAAAAGTGGAGAAGAGTACCAAATTATCGGAGCTTTTCCGGGCCCCATCTTGGATATCCGATGCGGCGATATTTCAGTGTTCTCATTCGCAATGCGAGCCTTCCGCCGGAGAAGCGTTGAGAGCGGATCGTCGTCGTCTCCGGAGGGTTCACTGTCATTCTCGGAGCCGGAAATACTTTCGTTCATATCTGGTTGGACAAACATCAGCAAACATGCTATCAAAGGGCCAATAATGAGATTACCAACCCTCCAGCATCTTCTCAAACTCGGCTTCCGATACCGCGGTTTGTCCTGCTATCTTGCGCTTGAGGTTGAACCTGTGAAGATCCGATCGTACGTGCATTCTCTGTTCTTCTACCGTGGTGCTATTAGTCCCGCAAAGCCCACAAGATGTTGCGGTGGCCTCTCCATCTTGATTGGAGGTGGGGACGGGAGTCTCGATAGCTTCCGGGGGGGAGGGTGTTTCCCGGCCGGTTTTTAAGGCCAGATTCGAGAGGAGGTTATCAGGGAGATCAAACACTTGATAAATAAACATTAGCTTGGAGATACATAATATAAAGAGAGAGGATTATGAACCGTATAATGGCCTCTTGAGAAGCTGTTCTTCGTTGGACATTGCGAGCTGTTGTGGTGATATGCGAAGTGTGAAAGGTCGGGGATAGAGAGATGGCGGGGGCGGGGCACAGTAACTGATGTGCCGGTAAATTCAAGTATAGACAATCGGGTGAAATAGCCGAGTACTATACAAGTACTATGCTCTAGCAAGAGCACCCGATATCCAAAGACACAAAGTATCGGTCGGTATACCGGTGCATGCACCTCTTTGAGAGAAAATTAACGTACAGTAATACCGGCTCTCTCCTTGGTGTTGGAGATTATTCAGAATACCGGTATGCTAAGCGAACAACAAGCGCAGCAGATTGTGAGATGTGCTTGTGTAGTGAATTGTGGTGTCAGATTCAATAGCATACCGGTACTGGTATTGTCGTGTTTGCCAAGGAAACAGCCAAGACACCGTCATTTCTGGCTTGGACTATTCCATTCCCCAACATTGCGGCGCTGTCACACAGAAAGTGACCACTCCATTTCTTGATCATGGCGTGAAAGCTCCTTAAATTCTTCTGCCATCACTCCATGTGCAGTGGAGAGAGACAGGGGAAGAGGAGGTAGAATTCTTACTGCGGAGCCCAATATCATATTATTATCTCTATAAATGTCTCGGATACCAGTAGCATATCACAATACGGTATCACGGCATGTAAACGCCAAACGCCCAATGCACACAAGTTCGGCACGAAAGAGGCCGTGAGGCTGAAGTGTTGCGTGTCCAGCACCGCACGGCACTCGTAGCCATCATCCCCGTACCCAAGGGTGCCGTAGGAGATGTTGTACTGGTGCTATCACCATATGGACCTACCTTGCCCATCATCTCCTCCACCACCCGGAAACCAAGAGGACCACAGCACGAAGCATCGTACAAGTACCAGCAATCGACTCTAACAAATAGGGTCACGTACCACTTGGCTTTCTATCCTTGCATATTTCCACAAGAGAGCAACAAATCACCGTAGTCATCCTCCAGCCTGCCAATTTCTTCGTTTTTTCCTTTCCCCCTTTCCCCTGGTTTTCCGCTTCCATTGTTGCCGACACCCTTCGTGTCCCTCATGTTCACACCTCCTTCACCTTTCAACACACAATCGTCTGAGTAAGGATGACGACCACCATTCACCGTCAGATAGGCAAGCTGGGAAAGAGGTCTGCGGATGAGGTAAGTTTGTTCCAGCTCCCACCCGATCCATCTTGAGGTTCGACCTGGAAACTCATCGCTGATTGTGATAGGCTACAGTGGCTATGCTTATCAAGGAGGTGAACGATGCTGAAGTTCTATTAGGGAAGGTCTGAATCTCAATTCTAGTTCCTACTCCTCCACTCCTTGCATTGGCAGCTATGGGGGAGTGATGGCGTGGGGGTGAAGAGGATTAAATGCTGAGAATCGTATCTCCTGTATAGCTAATTGAGCACACCAAAGCCTGGCGAGATTCTTGGACCGAGATATTGGTTGATCAGACAATCCTTACCGATAGCTTCCACGACATATACAAGACCATTCCATTGCCTCAGGATTACAATATTCAGGTCGCTGAAACTCCGGTTCCTGTCCTTAGAAAGGTTGCAAAGCTACATGCTGCTCAGAATGATCTCAAGACGGATATGACGGAGGAGATTGAGCGGGTGGACAAGATGCTGGTGGAGAGACTGTCTGAGGCAAAGGTATACTATCAAGCAGCTCGCAAGCCGGTTTTATGAGCAGCTACAGCTGATGGAGAAAAGGCAGCATTGAAACCGATCAAGAAGGCTATCGATAAAAGAGAAAACAAGAAGCTCGACTTTGAACGCTTTACTAAAACTGTTGAGAATCAGCGTGGGAAAAAGAACAAGTCTGATAGGTCAGACCTGACTCGGTGGTTTTGGGATGGGGCTGACAAAAGTGGATGTTTAGGGATTATTCGGTCCTTTCGAAGGCAGAGTTGGACCTTGAAAGAGCGCAGAATGTATGCCGAGGCCTAGCATTATTAAACTTATTCAGTGCCACTCGCTAACAGGGCTTCTCATTATTTTCCGTCTCACGCAGGCATATGAAAATGCCGATAATCACCTCAAAGACTGGGTTCCTCAAATGATGACCAAAATTACCGAGTTCCTTCCTTGCGTTGTCGAATCGATAGTGCAGACTCAGTACACATTACTATCGAACACATATTCCGCTATCTACGAATATGCGAATGAGCATAATTTTACAGATCCTGATGGTGAGGTAGTCATAGCTGAGTGGGAGGATCTCTTCATACCCGTTCAACGCCAAGTGGAGTCCGAAATCAGCTTTATAGCGAGAGGAAAGGCTATAACTATGCCCATGAGCCAATTGGTACAAGAAAAGAGCTATGTTCCGAGCATTCCAAGGATTGGACGAGGGAAGAAGCCTCCGCCTCCTCCACCTCCGGCTGGCGCACCAGCGGCCGCAATTCCGGAGGAGAGATCGAGGTTTGGAAAGATGATACCGAATAAATTTTCCCGTGAGAAGGCAGAACGGCCACCGTCACCGCCAGCCCCACCAACGAGCAGGCCTACCATTGGCGGCGCAAGAAATTTTTCTAGCAATCACGAAAAGGTGGAATCATCCCAACACTTGTCTTCACGGCTTCCCAATCCTGCCATTGGCGGTGTGAGGAAATCTTCTGGGGGCCGCGATGGAGGGATAAGGTCTCGGGTTCCCAGTTTAAACCCACCTGCCACCCGGGATGAGTCCCCTCCACCTCCTCTTCCAGGACCAAGGCCCGGACAACCAGGGTCCAGGCAGAGTCCTGCCGGAGAAGTTCAACCGCATGATTTTAGGTCCGTTATAAAGTCTAGAAGTGCAACGCCTCTTGCGGGCATTGCACAAAACTCACTTTCACCCTCCCAGAGATCAGATTTAGTGCGGATAAGATCTGCTGGGTCGAGCGACGGTCGACAGCCTGAAGAGCGGCTTCTGGGGGCTGTTTCACCATCTGCGATTCGTGCCGCCGAGCGATCCCTATCAATGGGGGCCTCCGGTTCCCAAAATTCGAGGCCGGCTGTGCCGCGTTCACTAACAGCGGCTTCGATACTGTCCCACAAGACTACAGTGTCGGACGCCAGCTCATTATCAAGCATTGCGGGAAAAAAGAAGCCTCCGCCACCCCCGCCGCCAAAGAAGAAGGGATTAGGAAAGGGTGAGACATGGGTTCGGGCTTTATTCCCTTTTGAAGGCCAAGATAATGGAGATCTAGTATTCAATGAAGGTGATAGGATTAAGGTGCTGAAAAAGACCGAAAGCACCGATGGTATGATATATTCCATTCTAAGGTTTTCCGATTCGAGAAACAGACTAATACCTTGTCAACAGATTGGTGGGAAGGCGAAGTACATGGACGGAAGGGCCAGTTCCCTGCAAATTATACAGAAATCATCACTAGTTGACGGATGATATTTTCGGGAATAGGCAAACAGGTACACATATTGTGGTTCCTTTTGCTCTAAGCACAGTTTTTGATCAGCGGTTTTATGGACGTTAGTAATCAGCGTAGGACTCGATAGCTAGTTGCCTTCAAAGAAATTAAAAAAAATTAAAAATAAAAGATAAAAAAGACGAAAAAGCAAGATCTCTGCTAACACCAGTACCTACAAATGTGCGATCAGCTACGACCCATTAAATGGCGTGTAAATTATGTACCCCATCCCTTCTAAGGCTGATGCGGGCTGGTAAAGAAAAAATTATAAAGCGAGTGACATGGAATGATGAGCGGCTTATTTCTTGGCACGCAAGCGTAGGGTTCGTAAACAACTGCTGTCCGCTTTGGTTCCTTCTCTCCGACCTTCCCGCCGACGTGACTCTTTCATTATTTTAAGGCGCGCTCTCCACACACACACACACACCAGCTCTATCTGTACACACTGTTTCCCTTTCTTATCTGCTTAGTTTTGCCGTTCAGCCTTTCCTACACTTTTCGCCTTTCCTTCCATAGACGTCATGGACAAAGCTCTTGACGATGTGGTTCGTGAACGATCGGTATTTATTCCGTTTCCCTCAGAACTGCTTCAACTGACCATTATACACAGCATGACAAGCGCAGCAGCAGTAGTAGTAATGACAGAAGGTCCCGCCGTAACCCCCGAGGCGGTGTCAGAAAGGTGATATGATGAATCTTCCTCCTAGTCTAGACCCGCTACCGTCGTGAACACTACTGTTGACACCGATCGTCGATCTAGGCGTGTCCCCACCAACTCCTATTTCTTCAACCATTCTCCTCCTCTCCCTCCTGCATGGTTCTTCGTTTGTTCAATTTCGCTCCATTTCCCGAAACTCTCCCTGCGGGAGCCAAGGATAAATCCAAGCAGGCTACATACGCGCAGAATTTTTTTAAAAAGTCAATCAAGCTAACGTTTCTCCATCGCTGCGCCCTCCTTGGAATATATAGACTGGCCGCCGCGATAACACCTACAATGATTCACTGTTTGGCGCCCTTTTCCCTATCTATCAAACTCCTATTATTCCTTATTCCTTACATCCGACTGTAGCTAACGTTTGGAAAGCGCTTGGGTTCATGACAAGTACGATGGGGATCGTAAGTTGCCTAAACCCTTCTTCGGGGAAGCTGAATATGTGATTGAAAGTGGATACGAACGGGTTGGCTGAGTGATTGATTGAGTTGGTTTAGCGACTAATGAACCATTGCGGCGGGCCGCGGGCTCGGATATGCGCCACAATTCTGACACGGCAACGTAGGTTTTTGCAATTGGGCTTGGCCGCTTGAATGTGCTATTACTGACTGATGTTGTAGGCTCGTTGGTGCCGGCAAGTTGAGGGTCGAGAATATCCATTATGAACTTGGAGAAGAGGAACTTCTTGTGCGTCTCGCTACCCGTCCATAGGCCCGTTATCTCACTTTGGGATATATCACTAACATCACTGGCGGTGGTGGCGGCGGCGGCACAGGGTCTTTTTGAACGTCAAGGCGTTGTTCTAAAGCTCGAACTCAAATACGATCGTGCGGGCCGCTCTGAGGGCATAGCTTTCGTCACCTACGAGCGCGAGGCTGACGCAAAACGTGCAATTGCCGAATTTGACGGCGCAAATGCCAATGGTCCAACCCCTTTCTCCCTCTCTACCGCAGCCTAGCAAGTTAACCGCTAAATAGGACAACCAATCCACCTCACCTTGGTCCACCACCACCACCAAAACGAGGGGAAATCCCTCTTCGATCGCATCCGTGCTCCAGACCCCTCCGCTCCACTCTCGACTGGTGCGGCCTCGTCCGCCCGCGACCGGGCCCGCCGCTACACTGACTCCCCAGAGAGAGACTCCCGCCGCGATCCTACCCGCCGTCCCACACCACCAAACATTGACCGCTATGTCCCCCCCGAGCGCCGTCGCGAGCGCCCCCGTAGCAGCGAGCCTACCGTCGGTGGTAGCAGTGCCCGTCGTAGAGGAGCTTATTCCGGCTCTGGCGGAGGCGGCGGTGGCAGGGAAGACAGGCCTTACAACAACAGCCGACGTTACGGCAATGGACATGCCCCTGGTCCCGGACGTCTTGGTGCTGGTGGAGGCGTTGGCGGAGGTGCGGGTAATAGAGCCAGGAAGACGGTGGAGGAACTTGACGAGGAGATGAACAATTACTTTGCGGACGCTGGGGCCCAGCAACAGCAACAGCAGGGACAGCAACAGGTCGGCGGTGCGCTGGCGCAGCAAGCTGATGAAGATGAGGAGATGATTCTTTAGATTTTCATGCTATCCCCTATTCCCCACTTTCCTTTTCCCGTTTCCGAGGTCACGGTGGAAGTGCACAATCTAACAATCGATCATCCTGAAAACCAGCTACACTGACACAATGCGGGAGAGGTGTGGGAACGTCTAGTAGTAGTGGGTTTGCCTAGCCCTTGCGTTTGTTGCTACAGTGGTTATCTATCTAGCTTGTTTCTCATGTCATTATCCCGTATATTTTTCTTCTTTTTCTTCTTGTCTCCCTTTGTCTTGTCTAGATACTCTTCTTGCTCTTGTTTTCCCGTATGGTGGGTTAGGGTGGTTTTTACAAAAAAAATGGGGTTCAACAAAAAACCGGGCTGTTGAAAAATGTTGTTGGGATCATGAGATATCACTCTTGCGTAAAGTGTCATTCGTTGCAGTTTTTTTCGTTGTGAATTGTGGTTGCGGAAATTTTTGGCCGTGGGTGAGAGTTGTGGGGTGTCAAGTGTAGAATGGATTGGTGGATAGATGGTGCAAATAAATGTATAGTATAAATATTGTCTATTATGCCGGGCAGTCTACGGTAGCAATGTCCTGCTGTAGGGACTCTTCTTTGATATGGTAACGCTTGCATTTAATTATCATACCCAAATCCTGCACGGGGAAGTGTTTACTTGATGCGTAGGGCGCGTACAATACAATACGTACCTCTGTCGTAGTGTTCCGTACATAATAGTCAAGTAAACTGGTACGTCCATGCCTACTCGTTCATCCATTCATATATTCATCCAAAGCAAACTTACGCAAACAAACTACAGTAATGGCACTTCCACAAACAAAAGCAGTAGAAAAGTGGAGAAAAAAAAGGTGCCAATCCATGATTTAAAGGCATCGGTTGACCAACCAGACATACTAACTATCAGGATATAAATTTCCCAAGATGCAACTGAACTCTCGGTAAAAAAAAAAAATTGTACACATGATGAAGTGGAAGGAGAAATCTCAAGATCAAACAAAACAATTAAAAAAAAAAAGAAGAGAGAGAGAGAGAGTTGAGGAAATGAAGCTCCAGGGTCAAGGGAAAGGATGTTGATACCCGGTGAAAGTTTCATATCCAGTGGTCTTTTTGAGGGGAGGGGAATTAGCGGCGAGTGTAGCCTCCACTGTAGCGGTTTGCCCCACCATCCGGGAGTTTGTTTGTTTGGGGCTGGGGCTTACTAGCTACGGAGCTCCAGGTTGCTGGCTGCCGAGTGTTAGTATTGGGACTTCCGTTTTGCTGTCTTCCTCTACCCATAGGTTTAGAGTAAGAAGAGAGCCCCGGAGTGGGAGAACTTGGGCTTGTATGGAAGAAACCTTGCTCCCCTGCTTTTGGGACTTGAGGACGCCTTGGGATAGCTCTAGAGGAGGAACCTTGCTGGGCGGGAGTGGGTCCAAAAGTGGTCATTGGACCGCTCCCACCGACTATCCTCCTCTCCGTTATTGGGCCCCTGACTTCCATTATCGAGTTGGTTGGCTGGGCGGCTGGGCTTCCGTCGTTCCCTCCCGCTGCAATTGCTGCGGCTGGCTTGGGTAAGACGTTCCCACCTCGGGATCCAAGGGACCTCTGGGCATTCACAACAATAGGTTGACCTGAAAGATTGGAGGTGCGAGTGTCAACAACCTGCTGGCTCTTGTCTGAAGAAGGAACATCCGACTCTGCCCTGCCTCTCTGGGAGATTGCTGGTCTTGCCTTTGCATGAGATCCCTCATTACGTATATCCTGATAATTCCACGCGCTATCATGGGTTGAGCTCGTATCTATAAGAGAAGAGGAGGTAGTGGGCTGAACAGGGGTGAGACAGCTTGGTGTGCTTTCAGAACGGGTCGATGCTCTGGGGCTTGAGGGGTCTGATCTTTCGTCGGAAAGCACTCGCTTCTCATCACACTTTGGGCAGTAGCAAGGTTTGTAACAATCCTCTTGGCATTGATGGCCGCATACAAGGCGCTTAAGACAGGGATCTAGGCATCGGATATCCTTGTGATCGAATCTGCCCGACGTTAGATATACTGGTTTCCGAATGATATTGATCGAGTTCACTTACGGGTGGCATCTAAAGCGACAGGTATGCGAGCAAGGCAATAATTCTTTGCACCATTGGTAACATCCCCCGACTATATCGACCCAGTCCTGGCTCTCTGGATTCGCAATGAGTAAAGAGTCAAAGTGATTAAGGAAAGAGCAGAGAAAGAATACCTTTGATAAATTCGAGCTTCCCATGTCTCTGGCAAACAATTGGCATTGCAAAGCCAATCCGACTTGGGGATGTATTTAGAATCTTGCCAATCTCCCACCAAGTCTTGTCTGCCCTAGTAATCATTTGTGCATCCCCAAAGATGTAGAACCCAAGCTGTGCGCGAGACAGAGCAACACAAATACGGTTTTGGACCTACAAGACCTAGTTAGTGTACAATTGATGCAATATAAACCCCGGAAGAGAGTAAGGATACATACGTTCAAAAACCCCACATTCCCCTGAGGATTGCTCCGCACCAAACTCAAAATTATAACATCGTTTTCTTCACCTTGGTAGCTATCCACAGTGGTAATTCTGAGGTCGCAGGACTTCAGGTTGTTGTTCTTTCGGACACGCTTAATGATCTCATGCTTTTGCCCACCATAGAAGGTGAGAACGGTAATTTTCTCAGGGCGTGTTTTGTTCAGTACGAGATGCTCGATGAAGCCAACTATCATGGCGGCTTCTTCGGTATTGATACGGGATGTGCCACTATCCATTTGATCCGGATTCATATGAGAGTACCAGAATACCTAGGGCCGATTAGATTTGGGTTGCGAGATGGGGAGGACTAGAAAAACTAACATGAGTATCACCCATCCCAGGGATACCCGGCCGACCCAGAACACAACTATGATCCTCAACCAAGTCTTGATCTACACTTTACATTAGCCTCAAAGTATTTGACAAGTGGGATCTTGAACTTACAAATCGGCGTTAGTAACTCACGGATCTCTGGTCTCATACCTAGACCAGAACGTGTCAGCAGGGCCGCCAGTAGAAGTGCAAACTCTGAACTTACGTCTCTGTTTTTGGAGCATATCGAAGGGTAGCATGTTATTGACTAGCCGTTCAAACATTGATATCTCTAAGTTGAATGGTGCCCCCGCAAGTTCGGAGACCGCACAATGCCCCCTCAACTGCTTATGGTCTCCGACCAAAATAAGGTGTTCAATACTGGGCATGCACCCGGCCGTCACAAGGCCTTCCAAGGTCTCCGCTGCCTCCTCTATTAACAATACTCTGGGCTGTACGGCTGCCAGCAGACTCCTGTTTTTGCTTAGACCTGTCGTAGTCAAGCCAACTATTTTAGCCGATCCTAAAATGTGAGCATATTTTTCTAGCCTAGCAATCTTTATATCCCTAACAAGCCTCTGGTACATGATATTGTACTCGTCAAACTTCTTCCGAACCTCTGCTACGACCCGTAGCTTGAGGCGCTGATACATCGCCGGCCTAATGTGGTCACTAATCTCCCAGACGTTCTTTGTCCTCATTGCTCGCCGAAGCTCATCCTCGCTAGCCATGAATGGAACGTGAACACGGTACTTATGGGCCAACGGCATCCAACGCCCTTTAAGAGAGTCATCGAATTCGTCAGCCTGGAGAGTAGTCTGGAATTCGGCTTCCATTTCCCTCAATGCCTCATAATCGATATCGGCTTCTTCGTACTCATCCGATAGGTTAGCTGCAACGATTATATGTGTGAATGAGTCGCCGAGCCAATCAGACATTGCTCCTGTAGGCTGCTCATCATCTTCATAGGTGATCGCCCGACTCAGGCAACGAACCTATGTCTTTAATATGGCAGGCCTGA